CTTTGCCATGAAGATTCTTAGTGATCCTATGTTAGCACCTAGTAATCACTCCATTCTTTTCTAAATTTTTCTCTGATTACCTATTCTTGAAGCAAGGATGGCATTAGCAACCAAATTTACCATTCTACATTTTTCTCATTCCTGAAAATCAAGGACACATTTTTCTAGCTCCGTGGTTCAAGCAATTTCCCCCTTTTTATGATTTCACAAAAACCCACAGGTGTTTATGAGATCACACCATGAAATATTATTTCAAGTTCCGGGCTGGGATTGCCTGGGCCTTGAGATGTGAATGCACTGAAACTGCCAGGATCTGCTCTGGACACGTTGCCTGCTTGATTGTCTTGACCAAGTTTGCTCTACTCGTTTCAGTTTGAGGAAATATTTTTCCTTAATAGACCAGATGGCGTCAACACAGGAGTTGAGGAGTTCTGCTTCTTATATGGCACTTTTTACATTATAACATTTCCTAGCTTTTCCTTGTTTCTTTTCCTTTGGCAAACATAGCTTGAATAGTTTTTTGCAAGTCTCAGTTTCTTAAGGATTTTAGCTTTCCCGAAGCCATTACTCTAATTCCTGCTTCTCTAGTGGTGTGTGAGTGTGTGTGTGTGTGTGTGTGTGTGTGTGCACGTGAGTGTGTGTGTGATTGAGAAGTGTCTTAGGATAGGTTTTCTCTGAATCAGATCAGACCCTGAGACAAGGATGTGTATGCAAAGAATTTATTAATGAAGTAAACTTGGGACTATCCAGTGAGGGGGTAGAGGATGTAAGACAGCAAAGGGAAAGAAGTCAAGCAAGGATGCAATTCAAGTGGAGGCCCAGGCTTAGCCTGACTCTGCAGTGCTTGTCTCCAGTTGAAGCCAGGAAACTGGGCTTTCATAACCCCACACCAGTCACTCACTGGCTAGGGTCTACAGGGCAGGGATGGAGGGTGGAAGATGAGTGTGTGGGGGCTGTCAACTGCCAGGTCCTCTGGCTCTCTGCATGGGAGTGGTGTGTGTGTGTGTGTGTGTGTGTGTGTGTGTGTGTGTTTAAGAGGAGGAATAGTTCAAAACCAAGTTCAGTAGTTCAAGGGCAATCTTCTGAAGACAGAATCTGGAAATCTGGAAGGTGCTAGCTGGTAGAAGCAAAGGCACAGAAAAACGGAAAAGGGAATCTGAGGGGATCTGTGTTCAATACTGGCGATGTCCATCTATCATCAATAAATGACAAGACTCATATATTCCACATGTCAAATATCCTGCTTTTATTTATTTTTATATACTTCACTTTGAAATCTGAGGTCATCAAAGACTTCTTTGTGCAATCAGTTTGGTTTCCAAAATGTTTCTCTCTTTCCGTGACAGGATCATTTGTGTCTGCATTGTTTTCCTGAATCGTCTTCTCCTGACGACCCCGTTGCTCACCCCAGAAACTTGGTGTCAGTCCTGAGTGCCCTTCTCCATCAGCTCCTCACCAGCTCCCCACCCTTACACAGCCACATGTGCTGGAAAATCAGCCATCATTTCCTTTCTGCCTTGAAGACATGCCTTAAATTCATCTACTTCTTTTTGTTTTTCCTGCCTAGTGTGAGTCATCATCACCTCTTGCTCGTGTTCTCACGAAAGCTTCCTAACTGTTCTTTAGACATTCACATCTGTACCCTCTAATCCCTTTCTACACAGTAGCTGGAATGACCTTGAAACATCAGGCAGGCCATGTCCTCCATGCTTAAACATTGCAAGGCACGGACAACGAAAGCTCACTCCTCCCTACGCTTACAAAGCTGCTGCCTGCAGCTCCAGGTTCATCTCAAGGCCCCGGCCCTCTGCTCTGGCTGCACTTCTGCCCCACGTTCCTATGTTTTTGTCCTTCTGCCTGAATCAGTGACTCCTCCATGGTGTTCCTCTGTTGGGAACGTTCTCCCTTCCCATCCCTCGGCTCCTTCCTATCAATCCCTCGGATCTCAGTGTCTCTCCCTGGCCTAGGAAAGTCGGTCCTTCACACTGTCATTTGCTCTCATGACATGCCCAGCACAATGGGAAGAGAAGGTGAGGCAAGGCTGCCATTTGCCTGGATGGTACTTAGCACAGTTTGTAATTAAATACTCATTTATGTCTTGCTTCCTTAGTATCTGTCTCCCTCATAAGGGAAAGGAACGAGCCTATTTTATTCTTTGGTGTAAAGCCAATAATAGTTGTTGAATAATAAGTAAGTTCTTATTTTTAAAATGGTTTTGAAATCTGTCTTCTTCTATCAAGGACATAGACATGAATTGCAAAACAGTAGCTTCCATTTACAAAACAGCCATCAGTGTATGAAGAAAAGCTATTATAAGGTGGCAGCTAGACCCTCAGAAAGAAATGAATCCATATCTTCTTATTTATGGAGTCTCCTGTTGCTACAAAAAAGTTATTGGGACTTAAATGCCCCCGAGCCCTAGATGGGTTGGCTCAGTGGATAGAGCGTCGGCCTGAGGACTAAAGGGTCCCAGGTTTAATTCCGGTCAAGGGCATGTACCTCAGTTGCAGGCTCGATCCCTGGCCCTGGTTAGGGCACATGTGGGAGGCAACCAATCGATGTGTCTCTCTCTCATCGATGTTTCTCTCTGTCTCTCCCCCTCCCTTCCACTCTTTCTAAAACTCAATGGAAAAATATCCTTGGGTGAGGATTAACAAAAACAACAACAACAACAACAAAAAAGTCCCCTAAAAGCAGTAGTTTTGACCCAGGGTATTATGTACTGAATTGTGTCTCCCCAAAATTCATATGTTGGAGTTCTAATCCCCAGTACCTCAGAGTATGACTGTATTTAAAGATAACTCAGTAAAAATTAGATCAGTAGGGTGGGTCCTAACCCAATATGGTGTCCTTATAAGAAAAAAGAGACTCGGATTCAGATACACACAGAGGAAAGACCACGTGAAGACACGGGGAGAAGATGGCCATCTCCAAGCCCAGGACAGAGGCCTCAAAAGAAACCAACCCGCAGGCGCATTGATCTCACGCTGCACGCCTTTAGAATGGTTAGAAAATAAATTTCTGTTGCTAAGGCACCCAATCTATGGTACTTTGCTATAGGAGCCCAAACTGACTGAGCCACTGAGGGAGGAAGTAATATCCCAGTGAAAAAAGCGTTTCGCTTGATGTAACAGAGGACCCACAAATCTGGGTTCACGCCTTGCCTGAGCAGACCAGGAATTCCAGGATCTGCTCCATGCTCGGGGGTTGAGGTGAAAGCACAGCCCAAGGGACTCCCTCTTATCTACACCACAGGAAAGGCGGGTTTGGGGCTGACGTCTTCATTGCAGGTCCACTGAGGGGCAGACACGGAGGTCTCCCACAGGGGTACGTACTTCAATGATTCTGAGTTCTGCTTTAAGAGGTAAAAAGTGTATTTCAACTTCCCATTCACTCTGGCCTCTTCTCACTGTGTCCACTACAGTAGGTTCATTGCTGAGCATCAATTCCCATAGGTGGGGGTCTCTACTTATGATTCACAAGGGGGTTGTCAGTTTTCACTCATCTGAGTAGGCCTTCAATCAACAAGGGAGTGAGTATATCCATAACACTGGCCCCAAGGATTTTCCAGACCTGGGATCCTTTGAGACCCCATCTAATTTAAAGTCCATTTGTCTACTACTTCATAGTATACATTGTTTGAGTTAACACATTTTCTGCCTTTTCAGTGCTAAAACTCCTGGGAGGTGTGTGTGTGTGTGTGTGTGTGTGTGTTCACCTATATTTAATCAAACATATTGTAATATTTAGTCAGTCATTTTAGGATAAAGCTTCTCTTCTAATCTTTTCAACATACATATATGATTCAGTGAGCTTAATATTTCATAGATTTTGATTGAAGTTCAAGAAAACCTTTGTTAGTGTTTCGTTAGCTCAGAGTTTGGGCTCTATCCAGCTTTTTCTAATCATTCACTAAAATGGTAGCAAAGTTTTACGGGAAAGCCAATTGGGCATGAAAAGGAAAAGGAGAATGAAATTGAGCAAAGGAACATGCAGAACATCTATCAGATGAAAACGGACTAGCAGGAGAACGCTGGGTCACATGCACATTGAACGAGGTGGAATATCAGAGCGCCCTTCTTATTCAAACAAGGTAGGGATGAAAACAGCTTGTTGGCATTTTCTGCATGTTTTAGAAAACAACCATGTTCTTCAATGCTTGAAGAATCTGAGGCAATGGTAGAAACGTATTTTTTAATTTAATTCCATTTTTTAAAAACTAGGTTTCTGTAATAAGCACATTTGCACGTATTAAACTGTGTATTAGAGGCGGGTCCCTGTGCACACACAGCAGCTGTGAGCGACTGGCTCAGCCAGGTGCCTCTGGGGGAGGAACAGGGAAGGCCGCCTGTGCAGAGTGCGTGCAAACACCCAGGCCTGCCCAGCTCTGCACGTCGGCTTTCCCCTGGCAAGGGTGGAAACCAACATGCTGCCCTTAGAGATGAACCCCATGTTAAAAACATGATACTCTTTGGGGAAAATAAGACGTACATTTCCATATTATTATTAATACTGTAGCGTTAAGTTCATGTCTCAGAAATCCTTCTGCGGGCTTCCCTGTGAGCGCCCTGAGGGGCTGGTGACGCTCAGGTCACTGCTGCGTGTCCAGCATCAAGTCAGGCCCCCCCC